CCTTGGCCCTGAATGCCTACCACACTGTGAGTTTGTGCCCCCTTAGTGTTCCCCAGGAACCTTTTTCTATTGCAGTTACTAAACTAGTGTGTCTCATCAGTTAATAATACACAAAAGCCTAGTGAAGTGGTTGCCATTTGACGGAATGCCACACCGTGTCTATGAAGAATTAAAATCTTAAAGGCATTTGAAGCTGAACCCTGTTTGAATCTTTCATTTTGTCTTGATTCCTTCGTGGCTTGATTCTGTTCTCTGACCCAGGAAGGGGGGCAGTCCTTGCCGAGCTGCCCAGATAAAAGGGCAATGCACTGTGGTTCTTGAAGTCAGCGTATGGGTACTTCCCCAGGAATCTTCCTCTAACATCCAAGCTGTAGGAGCTGCAGCTGGTAGCTGTGTGTATGTGTACACGCATACGTGTGTGTCCCATGTAACCCCACATGAGCATGCCTGTTGGGGGTGTATGCATGTTTGTGTGGAGGTAGATGTACATGTGTGGGTGTGGTCTTGGAAGTTCAGAGGAGGGCACCAGATATCCTGCTGTAATGCTTTTGACCTTAAGCTGGAATGTCTCTGAACCTGGAGCTAGGCTGGCAGTCAGCAAGCCCCAGGATCCTGCTGTCTGCATCCTCCTCAGAACAGGGAATACAGGAATGCATGACCACACTGCTCCCCACCCCCATCTTATTTTGTTTGTATAAGTGTTTTGCCCGCCTGTCTTACCTGTGCACTACCTCCACTCACCCATGCAGTAGCCATGAAGGCCAGAAGAGGGTCTTAGATCCCCCAGGGCTGGAGTTACAAGTGGCTGTGAGCTACCATGTGAATGCTGGGAAAGAAACTTGGGTCCTCTGGAAGAACGGCCAGTGCTCTCTGTCTTAACACACCCCGGTTTTCTAATGTGGGTACTGGGGATCTGAACTCTGGTCCTCACACTTGCACAGCAAGTGCTCTTACCGACTGAGCCCCCTCTCTCTAACTCATCAGCCTCTTTCTTTCTCTGCAGTGAAGAGGTCTGCAAGCGAGGTTTCACGGTGATTGTGGACATGCGTGGCTCCAAGTGGGACTCCATCAAGCCGCTGCTGAAGATCTTGCAGGAGTCCTTCCCTTGTTGCATCCACCTCGCCCTGATAATCAAGCCTGACAACTTCTGGCAGAAACAGAGGACGAACTTCGGCAGTTCTAAATTTGAATTTGAGGTAACATTCTCTGGGTACCAGGTCCTAAACTCAAAGGCAAGGAGAATAAGCAGATGGATCCTCACCATGGTGCCAGGTCTTAAAAGACCAGATTGAGCAGGACCTAGAGGTCTCATACGATAAGTAGAATTAACCATTGCATAAAGTAAAAGGCTTCGTGCCTTATCCCAGTACAGTGCCTTTTGACACAGGAGTCAGATCTCTGTTCTCTGGGGTTAGGGTGTGGGGCCCCTCGAGAAGAAACCTGTTCCTAGCACCTCACTTGAACAGCTCCCCCTGTCCACACAGAGCTGTGTGGCTGAGGATGTGTGGTAGTTGAGGGATTGAGGGGTAGAGGGGTTGAGTTTAGCCCTCATTGATAGTGGGGGGAATTGTGGGCCACTTTACATGTTGAGGCATGCATTTCATTTCATTTAAAAGTGGAGGTGGTCTTTTTAGTGCTGTACAGTTCTGCATGCAGCTAGGCCTGGACTAGGGATGTCAGGTGGTTATAAAAAGTAAACCAAAGCCTGTTAATTTATTTTCTCCCCCACTTTGAGCCTCCACTCCCTAAGCCACTGCAGTTCTGACAGGGTTTTGATGCGGTCAGTTTAATGTGATGATTACAGTAGGAAAGTTTTCCAGACAGCTCAAAGCTTGGCTCAGGTTCTGCTCAGTAATAGGACTGGAATAGTTTCTCGTAATAAATTATAACTGTTCCTGTCAGAAGGGCTCTGCCTAAATATTAGTTTTCAATGTACAAGAATCACTTTTTAAGGTAAATAATTTTGCACAGTGAAGAGGTATCAGTTGTTACACATTTCAAAATATCTCCTTGTGTGCACTACTTGATTTTAAAATGTCTTTTTATAGTGCCGATTTTTCTATCTGGAATTGGAATTTGGTTTTAATTTAAATTTGAAACTGCTTTCAAGTGGTTTAAGTGAAATATATAGAACACTTTTATCCTCGTTCATAATAAGTAGTAATTATGAAAGATATTTTATTGGGGCTTAGATATTGCTTAATGGAAAATTTAATGTGTGATGTATTTTAATTATACATGTCCTAAATAAATAGTAGTTTGCACTCACAGGTTTACTAGTCTAATTTACTAGTCTCTTACTAGTCTCTTGGGCTCCTGAAGGCGCTTGCCCATCGTCTTCCTGACCTGGTTGTCTCTGCATGGTTACCAGCCTCTCTCTGTGTGGCTGCCTCCATGCAGATTACTAATGGTTCAAGCAAATGATAGGCATAAGCCTCCTGGACCATTATAGGCTAAAAGCAGCTCCAGCTTGAGCCGCCTTTTCCAGCCCGGCTACCTTGTGTTATTTCTGATGCCAGCATGGAAATGCCAGTTCTAGGACTCTGGCTGGCTGGAGGTGATGGGTGGATTAGCCAGACTGCTTATCTTTCAGTTCTAGGGCAGCTCCTTCTCTTTTGCATTTGCATCTTACCACTCCAACCTCATGTTTTCCTTGAGGCATCGTATCAGTATCAGTAGGCTTCCATTCCAATGCATCATGTCGGGAGTGCTTGCTTAGACTGTACTAAACTCGGGTTTTGTCTGTGTTAAATTGGGATGCAGGGCAGACTATGTTCAGATATGTTCAGACTGCGCCGGATTGTGGCAGGTTATCACAGGGAAGGTGGGATTCCCCCTGTCTTCACTCTGTGAAATCACCTTCACCAGCTCTCTTGTGAAGCCTGAAGTGAGCTTAAGCTTTAGTTCCTTTTCTCCTCCTTTAGTGGAATCTAGTTGATTTGGGACTTGTGAAATTCACAGTTCTATGCTGCTAGGCATTCCCACTGCAGTGTTACTTGCATGGAGTTTTTCATCATGCTGACGATGAGCTGCCCATATTTGTTCTGGAGAGGCAGAACCAGGCATGGCCTGGGTTTTACAGGAGCAGGTTACTTTTAACTTTGAAAACCCATGTGTGACCACTGTAAGTTACAGGTTGATATGACCACATAAAACTGGCTCAGCTTCTCATACATAATTTTTTTTCCCTTAAGACAAATATGGTCTCTTTAGAAGGCCTTACCAAAGTAGTTGATCCTTCCCAGCTAACTCCCGAGTTCGATGGCTGCCTGGAATACAACCATGAAGAATGGATTGAAATCAGAGTAGCTTTTGAGGACTACATTAGCAATGCAGCCCATATGCTGTCGAGGCTAGAGGAACTTCAGGATATACTTGCAAAGAAGGAGTTGCCTCAGGACCTCGAGGGGGCTCGGAACATGATTGAGGAACACTCTCAGCTAAAGAAGAAGGTGATTAAAGCTCCCATAGAGGACCTAGATTTAGAAGGGCAGAAGCTGCTACAGCGGATTCAGAGCAGTGACAGTTTTCCAAAAAAGAACTCGGGCTCGGGCAATGCGGACCTGCAGAACCTCTTGCCCAAGGTGTCCACCATGCTGGACAGGCTGCACTCCACCCGGCAGCATCTGCATCAGATGTGGCACGTGAGGAAACTGAAGCTGGACCAGTGTTTCCAGCTGCGGCTGTTTGAACAGGATGCTGAGAAGGTAAAAGCGGGAGGGAGGGGCATGCCAGCTTGACAGAGGGGAGCTGCTGGGTCACTGGGTCTCGCCTCTGAGACTGGTGTGATAATGTGAGGAAACAGAGAGAAGGAGGAAAGTAATAGGGCTGCAGTTCCAGCGTGCATTCCACAGCAAGGGCCATTCGGAAGCCATCCTTAATCTGGCCTCCAGTTTTACTCTCAGTACAATACAGTGCTATTTTAGAAAGTCTGAGCTAAAAGCTACCGGTGGTTTGAAGAAGAGTGCCTGAAAGGCAGGCAAGAGTGATTTTTTTTTTTTTTAGTCCACATTGCACAATTGTGTTCTTAAAAGCAGTGATTATGTATAGATTTTCTGATACCCACCCTCTGATCCAACAAAGCCAGCAAAGCAAACCCTATTCAGACCTATACTGTGTCCTTTTCTAACAAAAGGTGAGTGATTCCATTAGAAATAAGTTTCTAGGTGATGTGGACAATAATGACAGATGTCCTGGTCAGAGTGGATGCTCATTCATTGCCAGATAATGTATTCTTTGCAATGTGAACAAAAAGGATGCTTGCAAACAGGAATGGTTTGCAGGCCATGGAGATAGGTGAAGTAATGTCTTAACTTGTGGCCATTCGGTTTTGTTTTTCCATGGATTGGTAAACGCACTGGAAAGTAAAAAAACCACATTAGAATTTTTTGATATAGGGTGCTAAAAGGATTTTTAGATGGGTGAGTCAGCATCACTGGCTTACCTGAGACCTATCAAACTCTCAAGTCCTTTGAAATATTTTGGTAATTTGGTTGTTTGTATTTGCTCAGGTTTCTGTGCGTGTCTTGCACGAGAGAGTGTATTCTTTCAGCTGTTAGTAATGTCTTCATAGATCCTAGTACAGAAACACTCCAAGGTCCTGGTTCCAGCCTTGGGTCTTCAGAGGGAGAGCAGTGAGACCCATGGAGCACTTTTTAGAGGAAGGGGCCTGGGCACAGAAGACAGGGTTTCTCTTAGGTTGAGGGAGCAAGCTGAGTTCCTCCTTATGAGACAAGACTTTCTTGAGATCTGCTGCCTCAGAAGCTCTTGCTTGTTCTTAGAGGCATAAACCCCAGCAAGCTCAGGGAGACCTCAGAGAAGCTAGCACCCCCCACACACACACACACATACCCCTCCCACCCCTCACCCTGCCCTTTCTTTTTCTGCAGTGATCCCAAGTAATCTTTTTCCTTCTGGTAGATGTTTGACTGGATCACACACAACAAAGGCCTGTTTCTAAATAGCTACACGGAGATCGGGACTAGCCACCCTCATGCAATGGAGCTTCAGACACAGCACAATCATTTCGCTATGAACTGTATGGTAAGCTGTTGTGAGACCCTGCGGAAGATGGGAGGCAGTAGGTGGCTGGAGTACACATACCTCACACAGCCCATGTGGGGCCTTCAGTGGCAATGGCTATAGAGATGATAGTTGTCACCCTCATTTCTTATATGACTTTGGACAATTTGTTTGACCTCTTTGACCCTTAGTTGCCTAATCTATGACTTGGGCACATTGTCTTTCTTTGATATATTGTGTTATTTGCTCTGCATGTCTAGAACACTTCATTGTGGCTTTCAAGAATCATAATCAACACCTGCGATATTATCTAATCAAAGTAGGAGGGGAAACTCTTCAAAGTATGATTGACGTCCCGTCCCTTCTCTCCCTCTTTCCTTCCCTCTCTCCCTCCTTCCCTTCCTTCTTCTTTCCTCCCTCTTCTCTTTCCCACCTCTAATTTCTTTCTTTAGATGCTAGCATCTTTTTCTTCTTTTCTACAGTACGTTGTGTTACTTTTCTCAATTAAACTTCTTTTAGAATATGATCACTCTTACTGTGCTGATGACAGCAGTTCAGCAGCTTTCTGGACCTTTCTTGCCCCTTATTCTGACACCTCCACCAGTCATCAGCTATCATGCATGCCAGGCAAGGTCAACTAGCTTTCAGTCCTTACTCCTTCTGCCTGTAGTGTTTTGAGGAACCTTAGAGAATAAAAGACTAAATACAAATACATAAGTGGGCAGTCTCTAAAGGAACCCGATTAGGGAATACCAAGAATGACACTCTAGCATAACATACAAGCTTGAGGATGAAGTCAAGGCATAAGTACTTGTAGTTGGGATGGCGCCTGGCCACATGGTACAGGCTCTGTAGGGCTGAGTGGGTCTCAATGTCCCTGGTTGTGCTGGAAATGATAGAGTAATGGGAAATGGGAAGCACGTGGCTGGTATAGTCTTCTTAGGAAATGAAAATGATGGAGGAGTATGTAATCCAGTCTGTAGATGATCCCTGCTAGGAGGACCATTTCGGTGGCCTGTACTTCTCTCATTAGCCGAGAGCCTCTGTGTGTACTCTCCTGGCAGAGTGTAGTGGCCTTTTCTCTCAAGGATTCAGAGAAACAGCATTAGCAAATCCAGCCACTTTAAGGGGAGATAAGGAACAGGAGGAGGAAGAACGTAGGTGGGAATGGAAGGTGTTATGTCCTAGTCTCTCCCCATGGAGACAGTACCTGAGATCCACAGCCAGATCAGAGAAGATACAGTGTTCAGTTTCCCCATGGCAACAGAGTACCTGAGACCACAGTCAGAACCTAGAAGACACTAGTCTCAGTTTCCCCATGGAAACAGAGTACCTGAGACCCACAGTCAGAGCCTAGAAGACACAAGCCTCAGTTTCCCCATGGAGACAGAGTACCTGGGACCCACAATCAGAGCTTAGAAGACACCAGCCTCAGTTTCCCCATGGCAACAGAGTACCTGAGACTCACAATCAGAACCTAGAAGACACCAGCCTCAGTTTCACCATGGTGACCAGAGCCGAGAAGATACAGGGTTCAGTTTTCCCATGGAGAGAGAGTACCTGGAACCCACAGCAAGAGCTGAGAATATTTGGGGCTCATTTTCAGAGCTTTGAGCCCATCCTTGCTTGGATCTTGTTTCTGACACTGACAATTCTAAGGCAGGAAGTGTGTGTGGATCAGAGTTGCCTCATGGGAGCCAGGAAGCACACAGAGGGGAGGGAGCTGGGGTCAGAGTAATCCCCAAAGTGCACACCTACTCCTGTAGCTCCACCCATCTCCTAATAGGGAGACAGGGACAAAATGTAGCAAATCCTCATTGTGTGAGTCTTTGGGAGACACCCCAAGTCCCTAGCACACTGCTTTTCATTTAAAGGAAGTTAGTTAAAGCATTAATAAACCCACACGAGCCAGGGAGCATGTTCCCACCAGCTTGTCCACATGTTCACACACTTCCTGCCTCTGCCCCTTCGGAACTTCAGGGTTCAGGATCTGTGAGTGTCTAGAGCAGGAATATGGATGGACTTGTCTGTCCTTTCGACCCTGCCTATGTGAAAGCAACTCCATCAGGGTCTGGTTGGGGGATAGCAGAAAGATCACAAAAAGAGGAACCAAAGAAAGACAAAAGGAGAGGATTCCTGACTAGCGGTCAGGGCTAGGACTCCGGTGACCTATGGCAGGGAGGAGGCGGCTTCAGAGTCACACATGAGGTGGTGGCAGTGTGGCTCACAGGAGTGGGAAGGCAGAGAAGACTCCCTGTCTAAATTAACAGTGAGATGCAGGAGCCAGGCAGGAACAGGACAGGTCACAAGGATAAAAATATACGAATAATCTGGGATTTGTTGACTGTGGGCCTCCCTGTTTCCCCTCATCCTTGATTGTGACAATAAACAGAGGAGTGGAGGCAGGAAGATTCCCTGCTGCAAGATCATACTTTGTAAAAAGCAGAAAGCAGCCTTTCTTTCATTTGTAAAGCCAGCCCTGTGTCCTCATTTGTTTCCTGTCAACTGATAGACTCAGCTAGGACTATCAGCAGAACAGAAGAGCTTCACTTAACCTGAGTGCAGCATCGTTCCTTCTGAACCTTAATTCATGCTTCTGGGAGAGAGTGGGTCCATTTGGAGGTTTTCTATTGGCACAAAAAGATGGCTTGGGTTTATCCAGAAAGGAGAGCTTGTCCTCACACAAATAAATAGCCTTTGGTGGCTAAGTGTGTGTTTGTCAGTTCCTGGGTTCTTGTCGGGTTCCTTCAGTTCTCTGTGATTGCCTGTCAGCCGTCCCGCCATCTGGATCCTTGACAGGGTTGGAAGCCAAGAAGTGAGTAATAGTATATTTGTGTGGACCCTCTTGTGTGTCTGATTGCTTTGTGGCTAACAATTATGCCTTTCAGTGAGTTGATTGATAATTTTATAGTTTTAAAAACAGAATTTGGAATCCAACTCGGGGTTTACGGGAATCCAGAGAATAAGATCTTTGATGTAGGATGCCAGGTGATTGTGCTTTCAGAACTAGGGAACTGTTAGCCAGCTGTCCACAGAGGCTGTCAGTCTGTCTGCCTCGTCAGTGAACCTCTCCCTTTGCCTTCCCCACAGAATGTTTATGTAAATATAAACCGCATAATGTCAGTGGCCAATCGCCTGGTGGAGTCAGGCCACTACGCCTCCCAGCAGATTAAGCAGATTGCGAATCAGTTGGAACAGGAGTGGAAGGCGTTTGCAGCAGCCTTGGACGAGCGCAGCACCCTGTTGGACATGTCCTCCATCTTCCACCAGAAGGCTGAAAAGGTCAGTACCTGTAACCCCCAGCCCACAAAGCAAGAGCCAGAGCATGTACCCCTCTAGTCATCTTATGTAAGTCACTCTTAGTGGTCTTTGTATGAGATCTACTGTGAGCTCCACTGTCCCTCAGCCTCAGGTTGAAGTCACTGCTGTCTTATTTGTCGCACTTTTCAGCTTTTTACATTTGTTTTGTTTGCTTGTTTATTCATTTTGCAAATGAGAAAGGGGGTCTTTGTGTAGTTCAGGCTGGCCTGGGGCTTGCTGTGACACATAGCCTGCTTCACACTGGCAAGACCCAGCTCCCATACCTCCAATGCTGGGGTCACAGGTGTGTCCACAATGCCCAAATTTGTTTTCGTTTTTCAGGGTTTTGTTTTTTATTTCCCCCCTTTCCTTTGTAAAATAACAAACAAAAAAAAAGTTTAAACATTCTTGGGAGGATTGTTTTAGAGCATGAAAACGGCCGCTTGTCCTGTGCCCTATGCATGACTGGTGTGTGATAAACACAGGTTGTGTTGTCTCTTCCCTGAGATGCATGGGAAATGGGTCAGGGTTCAGGGTTCTGATAAAGACTGCAGATACTCGGGAAACCCAAACTGCTCTGAAATACTTGTCTCACAAGGTTGTCTCACAAGGTAGTTCAGAAGTTTCAGATTCCAGGTTTTCTCACCAGCATTGTTTAACCTATAATAATAATAACCAGTGGCTGCTTTTCTTTGTCCCGTCTTCTCTCTACTCCCTTTCCCTCCTCCCCATCCTCCTCTCTCCTGTTCCCTTTATTACCTGCATTGGAATACTGCGAGCTGTAGAGTGCCTCTCACTAGCTTCCACTTTGATTGCTCCCAGCCCTCGGTAGCCCAGCCAGTATTTCCAGGAGGCCATTCACATCAGCACCCTTCCGACTAATTCACTTTCTTTGCTCAGGATTGGTAAGCTTCCTGGTGCCCCACTGCAAAGGTGGGGTAGATCCAGCCTTTTGGCCTTCTGCAGCCATAGGGAGGCTGTGCCAGCAAGGGCTGTGAGGGAATGGCTTTTAGGCAGGCAGTTTGCACACCATCACTAAGTGTTGTCAATCCTGACCTCACATTGGCTTCGTGGGCTGAGATGCTGTTAGACAGAATCTTGTTTGAGTGAGGATTTGCAGATCCTACCACGTGCCTCACACCTCAGTTCAGGTGTCTGAATAGACCCCCGGAAGGCAGCAGAGAGTGGGAGATAGCTTGTGACTCTGACATTATTGCAGGGAGTATGCTGTTGACAAAACACCTTTCCACAGGTCCCTGACACATAGTACAGGGACCTTCCACAGTGAAGACAGTTGGAACAGAGGTGGATGGTGATAGTGACTTATTTAAAAGGATAAACACTGGTGTAGCTCTCTCCAAAAGGGAAGACGGCTTTTGTAAGGATTTGCTTGCTGGCTCTGAGAAGGATAGAGTTTCTTTCTTGTCTCACACCAGCCTCTGTGGACAACAGTTGTTGTCAATAAAACTAAGTAGAGGCCCCAGCTTGCCCAGGATTTCAGCAGGGCAGTCTTGTGTTGCACAAGACAGTAATTAGCAATGATCTCAACCCTAGAAACCTTTAAAGTGTGAAGCAAGGAAAGAAGCTAGTGGAATATAAACAGGAAAAAAAATCTTAATGGCATCACATGAAAGCAATGAGGGAGGCCTTCAGATTCCATAGCTGGGGTGTCTTACTAACCGTGCACTTACCCGCTTCTGTGGTCAAGGATAAACAAACCCACACATGGAACGTGGTTTGGAGTAGCAGGTTTCTCCTTCGACATGAATGAGCATGCTCTCCACGACCCCGTGGCTACCTCGGCTCCTTAGGATACAAAGCAGATGCACTTGGGCATAGGATATCATTGCTAGAGAAAGGCAGCTGTGTCTCTCACCTGTGTTATCTTCAATAGCCATGCTGTGGCTGTAGCAACCCACTGAGCCAAGAGGTGATGAATTGCTATTGGGAATGGGAGGCTCCAGAAACATACATGGAGATGACAGGAACATGAGGATCTGTACCAGGCTTTTTCTTTTAGGCCACCAACCAGCTCCCATCATGACATGGACACTTACTATTAGTTTTGGATGTTTATTGGCTTATGCTCCTATCTGGCTAGCTCTTTTAACTTAAAGTAACCTGTTTCTTTTTATCTACTTTTTGCCTCAGGGCTTTTTACCTTTTCTTACTTTCATGCTGTCTCTATGTCTGGCTAGATGATGGCTGCCTGGCTTCTTGCCTCAGGACGTGCCCTGTTCTCTCCTCCTCCTCTCGTCGTCTTCTTTCTTCTTTAGAGCCTAGATCTTTCCCCCCACCAGCCTGAGCTATCCCTCTTCTGCCCAGCTATTGGCCTTTCAGCTTTTTATTAGACCAATCAGGTGCCTCAAGCAGGCAAGGTGAAACAGCAGCACATCTCTACATAGTTAAACAAATGCAGCACACGCAAGTGTAACACATCCTTAAATCGTTAAATAAACTGAGCATGAACAAATGTAACACATCTTGGCTCAGCTAAAATCATCCCACAACAAGGAGCAGGGCAACTGGCTTGCATTATGGGAGACAGTCTGTAGTATGTATGGAGGGATTCAGAACTGTGAATAAACCCAGGAGATTAGTTGCTGCCCTGCTTACTTAAAAGTAATCTAGAAGTATATATGTCATGGGGGACATTTCCTCACCCATGTTCCACTATTAAACAATTTAAACATGCAGCAAAGTTGAAAGAGTCTGAAAGTTTCTTGTTTGGGGGAAATGAATGACTGTAATTTATAAATTTGAAGGAGAATGAACTAGAAGGCTGTGCTACAGAAGAGAAATGCATGGGATCCTGCTTGAGCTTCCCAGTGCTCCAGGTCTCTGCACATAAGGTGTCCAGAGAAGAGGCTCAGCTGAGCTTAGGAAGGGCAGTGAAGAATGGGCCCTGTGTGTTCTGGACTTTCCTGAGTCCTGTGCCCAGACACCCAGCACATACAGGAGGAGCAGGAGGGCACCTTTGCAAGTGTTTCCTTGCTGATGGAAGTAGGTGTCTCTGAGGGTTACATGCCTCAAGCAGCTGCTTAGCCTCTCACCTCTGTCTCCATGAGCTCTTGTGTTGGTGGTCACCAATGACTTTATAATGTAGTGAGAATAATGTTTCACAGGTGCTTTCCAAACTTGCCCCCCCCCCCCCATTTTCCCATCCCCTTATTTTCACTAATGGTCGAGAGTCAGAATATCCATTTGTAGTAGACAGGAAGACGACCTCCAGAGTTATCGACCTTACTGTAGGTACTTTATGGGGCCTGCCTTTACTTAGCTTGGTCATATGGCATGTCCTCTGGGCAGTCTCTTTGTGTTAGGAAGATTTCATAGCAAGTATTCTTGGAATTATATTTTTAAACAACAAATTAAAATGAATCGATATTTACTATATTTTAAAACCTCCCAAGTTTTAGTATTAAGAATAATCTAGAGCTCATTATCCCATGTGCTAGCCTGTCACTACATGTGGCTATTGAAGCCACTTAAGGTTACATAAAATTAAGTAATAGAATCATAATAAAAATAAGCATGAATTTCAGGAAAATTAAATTTTTCACTGCTTCTGTCGTTCACATGCACATGTGGCCAGCAACTGTATGGTTAGACCACAGGCTTGTTTCCATTGCTGCTGCACTTTTAGTGTGAGCCAGCATATATAGTGTGAGCTAGAACACAGATTGCCTTGTTTCATCTATGGCTTTAATGGCTTTCTGTGCCTTAACGGTCAAAAAGAAATTAACCACCAGTGGTGTGTAGTTCTTGGATATTTGCAGAGCTCTTAACCAAATGAAATAAGGCTAAAGATCATTCCGTCCTTCAGTCAGCCTTGTGGAATAAATGAGGCCAGAGACATAACTGTCCAGACAGTTTGCAGAGCAGGATTTACCCGTGCTCCTACACCTGGGCCTTGCATCAAGCTCTGTGACTTGAGTCAGTCCTCATCAGAATAGCTGCTCTGCACTTACATTAATATTGATATTAATAACTTGCTTTTATATAAAACTGCGCTTTTCATTAACAAATAAAAAGGAAACGTTTATTGTTAAAATGTTGTGGCTCTTATTAGGTTGGGAGACGGCACAGTGGGTAAAGCCCTTGCCTCCTAAGAATGAGGACCTGAGTTCCATCCCCAGCATCACATGCAGCTGCATGCACTAGTGCATTATCTGTAATGGATGCATTGGTGCACATCTGTAATGGATGCATTAGTGCACATCTGTAATGGATGCACTGGTGCACATCTGTAATGGATGCATTGGTGCACATCTCTAATCCCACAACTCCTGTGGTGAGACGGCAGTGGGGGGCAGGGGCTCAGCAGCCTGCAGGCTAGCCAGTCTGATGTATGCAAGTGTGAACAGCAGGAGCCCTGGAAAGCAAGGCCAATGCCCACACTGTGACACTTGCAGTCACACACCTGAACACACACACACACACCTGAACACACATGCACACACACCTGAACAAATATGCACAAATGCGTACGAACACACACACACATACACCTGAATACACACACACACACACACACACACACACACACACACACATAAAACAAAGAACAATGATTTATACATGATTGTCCTCTTGTGGAATAAACATTTGGATGATTTAGGCACGACTCTGAGTTGAATAATTAAAAAGAATAGACTACCACTTCAGTTTCTCTTTGGAAGCAGACAGAATATGGAATAATCCCTTAACTTAATTTTATTTTGTAAGTAAACCTTTGAGAATGCTTTTCTTAGAGTCTAGCCTTAATAATTCTTTGTTTGTGGTAATAACAATATTCTCATGGAATGGGAAGGATTTAGGGGAAAAGCTGTGTCTGGAAACAATAGTATATATAATGTAAATATATATAGTATATATATACATACATACAAACAATAGTATGTTAAGGAATAGGCTGGTGGTATGCAAAGTGATTACCGACATGTTTGCTGCATGGAAAACTGGCTAAAGTGTTTGGAGCCTCTGAGCTAGATCCCTGGCACATGCATGGAAGTGCTCACATGTCCTGTGATACCCATGGCCAGCGGAGCAAAGTGAACTATTACAGAATTAGCTAGAAACAAAAACAAAAGGAGATGAGACATAGAGAGGAACTCTGGGGTTTTTGCTTGAGTGTGTTTGTTTCATTTTCAACCACTTGGGTTTTCCAAGGAGGAGAAATCCCTTCTGAGTATCAATTGGCTACTTCAGTCTAGGAAGTTTTGGTCCCTCTGTCACCTTTACCACCTGTACTAAGCAGAGGCATCAGGAGGTGGGAAGGGGATATGGGGGCAGGGGTTCGGAAATAAATTACCTAGAGGACCCTAGCTCCTGAGGCACATATATGCTTCCAATAAGTTAGTCTGCTAACTAACTGTTCAGGGTCTTGTTTTGAAGCTGTGTCAGTCTTTTCTCCCTTACCCGTTAGACTCAAGTTTGCAGAGTATCTGACTTCTTTTTGTCTTCTGTTCAGCAACTTAAAAAAAAACAAAAAAAACAGACATTTTGGGCTGGCTTAAGCAAGATGGCTCAGCAGCTAAGAGCATTAGCTGCTCTTCTAGAGGACCAGGGTTCAATTCCCAGCACCCACATGAGAGCTCATAACTGTCTGTAACTCTAGTTCCAGGGGATCTGGCACCCTTACATGGATGGATGGATATATATATATACACACACACACACACACACACACACACACACACCAAAGCACATGATAAATAAATTTTTTGGGAAAAAAAAAATCTTAAAAACGTTTCCTTCAGTGTTAGAATCTCTGCCTTTCCCTGTGCTGGAGTTCCAGCCTGGCCTGTGCATCCTGGTACTGATTATGGCCTCTACTCGAGTACACAGAAACTGAAACATGGCAGCATCAGGTTTTGCATAAAGAAAGAACTTTTTTTTTATTATGTAGTCAGCTAGCAGGCTGCTGGGAGCATTCTGCAGAAGAGGGACCAGGGAGAGCTTGCTGTTGATTGGATGGGAGCTTTAAGGTTCCTTTGCCAAATGTAGATGTCATTGTAATCTTCACTGGTGTCATGTTTCTTTCCTGAAGGAGTTATGTCTTGTGAGGAGGATTTTGACCTAGTGCCATGAGAAGGTCGTTGCTCAAGTTGAGCTGGCTTCCTCTGCATGCCCATTCTTGAAAAGCCCATTTCAAACTATCTTTAAATTGATCTTGGAAGTTTCTCTTGAAAAAAAACTGAAGTGTTTTGTTACTTCAGGAATCTATGCTGGGTGTATCCAGTCCTGTACCAATTTTAGTTGTTTCAAAAATTGGAGATGAATGCATAGAAATTTGATACCGTGGCCCCTGATGCTGCTACCCATTAAATTGTGAACTAGTGTAGCATCTAATTAATGCATGTGCCATAAGAAGCACCTTACCTCCTCTTAGGAATACACTGTAAGTCTGCGTTTGGGGTGCTTGGCAGTGGCTATTGTCTATGAGCTAATTAATTGCTGACTTGGACCTGATGACTTATTTATAAAGGTGGCTAAGTCCCACCAATTCATATTTGAAGAGGGTTTACAATGACTTATTAATTGCTACTAAGTGCACAAACGGAGGAAGAGAGAGTGAAGCAGCCCTGAAGATTACTCAGCAGCATCCGACCTATCCTGATTGATGTTTATAGAACACACTACCCAAGAAACACTTAAAATACGCCGGAGTAGTTATGTGTGGGAGGAGAGGTCTGGAGTAATCTTATGGTGACTCTGTTGCCTGGAGAGCACTGGAAGATGCCATAGAAGTCGTGGTGGAAATAATTAGTGGTTCTAGTGGTGGTTGAGGGTTGCTTGGAGCCACCAGAAGCCACAGGCTGTCTGGTGACACTGCCATGTGACCTGACTTCAGACCCTGAGGTTTGCATGTACAGAGGCTTTTATGAGCAATCGATATGTGGATGACTTGTCTGTCTGAAGCTCCTGTATACTGTGAATAACATGAAGGGTGCTCTCCTTGTACCCGAGACTCACACTGCCTTCCCTCTCCCAGCCACCCACCCTCTGCCTTCCCTGCTGAGCAGAGACCTGTGAGGGACTGACCTCAGAGAGGTGGAACCCATTGGTGTGTTGCTGTCTATTGGCTTAATTGAATTAGCCTCCTTAATTGGGCCTTCTGTGCTTTCTTTTGACACTCAACTGTGAAGAGTTCTGATTGCATCTCCCTAAGAAGTGATTTATCACTGTTCATGAGTGCTGGAGGTGGATGTGGTGGTGGTGGGGAGGAGGGCAGCGAGGTGAGATTGGAACTCAGGTCATCATTCCATGCTGACTGGCCCAGGCTGCCACACCACTCTCCTCCTCCTGAAGTTTCTCCTGCAAGCTGGTAGATAGGCAGGCTGCCCTTCCCAGCCTGAGATGAATAGTTTGAGAGACTAGGTCTTCCTGTAAACATGCAATACGGAAAAAGTAAAGCTTCAGACAGCCCCCACCCCTACCCCCATGAAGCCTGCCCTGCTGCTCTGGGCGTGAGAGGGGTGTGGGGAGGGAGTGGGAAAGAGTAGCCTTGTTTTCTCCAGTGCTGGGGTACAAGGCAGGTAGAACATAGGATTTCAATGTGGACTGGGAAAGCCAGCTTGAAGAGAACAAGGCAAGACAGCGTTGCTCTGGGACCATGAGCAGCACACTCCAAGGGTTCCATTAAGGGCAGCTACCTACACCAGCAGCCCCTCCTCCAGTCTCTGGGGGCAGAGTTCAAGAACCACATCCCAGAGGAGAATCAGAGCAGCCATTCCCCTTGATTTCCAACCATGTTGTTATTTGCTTACACACTCTCCCTCAGTTACACCACCTATCAAAACCATGTTGTCAAACATACCCCCTTTCTACCTAAATGGTTAGAAAAAGATAACAATAATCATTTTATTTTTTGTTTTTTAATCTCCAAGTACATGAGCAATGTGGACTCATGGTGCAAGGCCTGTGGTGAGGTAGACCTTCCCTCTGAGCTGCAGGACCTGGAAGACGCCATTCATCATCACCAGGGGATCTATGAGCACATCACCCTTGCTTATTCTGAGGTAAGGCTGTGTTTTACATAGCGCGCCAGACATTGATGGGTTTAAATGGTGGCTCTAAAGCTGAAAATGGAGGCTTTGGGCAGCTCAGGAAAAGCTCTTGGTCCTGTTAAACAGTAGTTATTCAATAGACAAAGATCTATTTTGACTCATGAGTTCATGGCTCAGGGCTCCTCAAAACTAACAGGGAGATGGAGGCTGGAACCAGGGTCAAGCCATAACCTTCAGATACCTAGACCTGGTGACCTACTTTTACTTGCTAAGCCCACTTCCAGATTCCAGAACATCCAAATAGTACAGCAGTCATGAGACCCTGAAGGGCCAGGCACTAAGTGTAACATTGTCTTTGTGAATTTTAAGGTACTATATTAAAATTGTGCTTGATGCGTGCTTGTCTCACTTTCTGCTGTCCCCTTCTGTACCACGCCTAATGGTACAGATTTTAGACAGAGTTACTGTTCTGAGGTGCGTACTGTTACTGTCCCTGCAATACGAGTGAGGACACCAAGACATCAAGGTGACATGACTTGTGCCAGGTCAGCTGGTAGAGTGGGATAGCTACATGAGCCTAGGCAGGCCATTCCTATCAACCATGCTCTTGTCACCTCTCTGGCACACGTCACTGATAGCCAGGTTAAGACCTAGCTGCTGATAGGTTGTAGAGTGTCATCCTCACCCATGTCTTGTTTATCTGGCCAAGCACATTGATGTTGGCTTAGTTATAGCTATTACTGCCATGATGAAACACCATGACCAAAAGCAGCTTGGTTCATTTGGCTTACACCCCCTTCATTGAAGGAAGTCAGAGTGGGAACTCAAATGGCAGGAACCTGAGGTCAGGAGTTGATGCAGAAACCATGGAGCAGTGTTGCTTACTGGCTTGGTCCTCATGGCCGGCTTAGCTGTTTTCTTATAGATCCCAGGGCCAGCAGCTCAGGGATGGCACCATCCACCACAGGCCGGGTCCTTCCACATTAATTAAGAAAATGCCTTACAGGCTTGCCTATAGCTCAGTCTGTGGAGGCATTTTCTCAACTGGGGTTCCCTCCTCTCAAATGACTCTAGCACATGACATGGCACAGTAGAGATGGCCTCTGTGATAATGGTGATGCTCCAAGAAGTAGGAGTGGGCTACTGCTTACATAAATTTGCTTTCCTGTAAGGTTTTCTTCATTCTCCTTAATAGGAAGCATTAGTACTGTGTTGATGGCTGTTGTGAAGCCGTCCTACAGAAGCCTGGGCATGGAAAGAAATGCTTGCTAGGTTTAAGTTCTTCCTTGGTCAGAAACACATCCACTCCTGTCCGAGTTGCAGAGAACTCAGTGTGTGTTTCAGTCTGGCCCCTTGCCATGCTTCACTGACAGCTGACACCACTGTGTCCTTGGGCCCAGGCCTCCTGGCCCTGGTGACTGTGAGCAGGCTGAATGGACACACAGAGCCCTGCCATTCATGGTTCAAGTGTTGTCCAGTCTCCTATCT